AACACAAGTAGGGGGAGTGGGAGAGGGAGAAGCAGGCCTCCCGCCGAGCAGGGAGCCCGATGCGGGGCTCGATCCCAGGACCCCAGAATCATGACCTGAGCCAAAGGCAGTCGCTTAACCAACTGAGCCCCCCAGGCGCCCTCAGAGATGAATTTTAAAAGTCAATATAAAGGCTTATTTTTAAATACTGCTTGATAGGTTTGTATACTACAGAATACAAAAGAAAGTTTTAAAGAGAGGAACAGAAAGAATTTCCTTCAATATTTTGTGAAAATCATTTAAAATATAAGATACCCATAACAATAAAAGTTGTCAAAATTTCAGTCATTGAAATCCTTTGCATATATCATAAAGCTTGATACTAAATGCAGCCCTATATACAACACACACACTTCAGGAGCACCTGGGTGGCTCAGTTGGTTAAGCGTCTGCCTTCAGCTCAGGTCATGATCCAGGAGTCCCAGAATCGAGTCCCGCATCGGGCTTCCCGCTCAGCGGGGAGTCTGCTTCTCCCTCTGACCCTCTCCCCTCTTATGCTCTCTCTCGTGCTCTCTCAAATAAATAAAATCTTTAAAAAAAAAAAAAAAAAGCATCTGCCTTCGGCTCAGGTCATGATCTCGGGGTCCTGGGATCGAGCCCTACATCGGGCTCCCTGCTCAGCAGGGAGGCTGCTTCTCCCTCTCCCTCTGCCCCACCGACTTATATGCTCTCTCTCCCAAATAAAATCTTTTTAAAAAATCACACGCACAGACTTCAAGATATAACAGCTCCTGATAGATATCCTCTGCTAAAGTTAGAGATGGTAATATCCTAGTATAAATTAAGAACAATTTAAGTCTTAATTCATGATCTTACTCAATAAGGCACCTTTCTTGATGCCTAACATTAAATATAACTAAAAACATATAGAAATAACACCACTGTTAATACAAGGCTGTTAACAATGAGCTGCTTCAGAGGCAATAATTCAAGACTGAATTACAAAGTACCATTTCCCTCAATAAATATTATTAATTATATCAAATGGTTCTTCTTTAAAGATTTTAACACATATGACTGACCAATCTTGCTAAGTAAGGGAAAAAAATATAAACCTAAACCACAACAATCAGACTCTATATATTACCAATGAATCCCAAAAGATACTTCACAGAATCAATAACCATATGGATAAACAGCAAAATAAGTGATAAAGACGTCTTTTCTTCATTTTATTTTCTGTATCGAGGCTATCAGAAAGTGCCTAAAACACTTGCCTAGTAGACTTAACTATTATACTCCATAAGAAGCCTATTTCCTTGTCACATAGATCACACTTTTCAAATGTGTTGATTTCCAATTTCTTAAAATCTCCGACCAACAACAGTACAGCAATTATGAAAATTTTAAAAATCTCCCAAGTTACCGGGGAAAAGAATACAGATATATATTCACTGTGTACCTTGTGAATGAGGTCCAGAATTTCCTGGCTGCTTTCTAAAACACAAAACTGGAAAATGTGCCGCAGCATATCAGGCAGGATAGGTATAAGCCAAGATGAAGAGTTCTGAAAACAAAAACAGCATCAAATCTATAGTATAGAATTTTTAGGTGTTAGCTTATTTGAAGAGCTACAAGTCAAATAATACAAGTGTTATCATGAACAGATGGTATGGCTTTATCAAAAAGGTTCGACTGGGTGACAAATTTTTACAAGATTTTGGAGCAACAGTATCATATTTGTTATTCCAATGGTTTGGAAAAATTAAGTATCATGAGACTAGTATTTTTAAAATGCAGATTCTCTAGTAGCATAGCATAAAGTCTGCTTAGTAGAAAATACAAGATAAGGCTGGGAAAACATCTGAAGGCCAAATTCACTTCACCTGAACAATTGTGCAAGCATCTCCTTTTCGATATGATTGCAAAAAATAATATGGCTTTAGCTCAATATTATCTTATAAAAATTGCAAGGTATAATCTGGCCCATCCAGGGCCAATCTGTCTCTTGTAGATCTGAAAGTTGGCCCACTTATTTTCACTAATTTTGCACCTGTCTTCCAGGAGGCAATGATATAGGCCAAAAATCTAGTACTGTTGCTTTGTATTTATAGGTTTATTTAATTAGATTGGTGGGGAAACTGGTACAGTGAAGAGCATATTATTATTTTTCAGTCCTTTAGAGATTATCCTCCTTCAAATTCCTCTCTCCAGAACTTTTTAAAAGTAGTTAGTAGACTTTTAGTATGCTACTAACTAGGACTCTACTTATCAAAAATACCCCCCCGAATCTTAGGGAATATCTACAAAGTGTTGATGACCATTAGCATTAGTCTAGCACAGTGTAAACTAAAATACAGAAAAATTCCTACCACAGTCTGTTTACTTCAAGTTTAAATTAACTATAATCAGGAACATTATTACTCAAGTTATAAGTAAATTCAAGCTTTACAAGGGCTTTTGAAAAAAATGTTTTGGTCTGTGTTAAATAATTAACAGAGTAATTATTACCACTTCATGTTAGTGCTAAACGTAGTCCCCAACATTTTTTTAATGAGCATCAAGTGGGGGTGGGGAGACGACATTTCTGGGAATTACTGAGGAAAATGACTGATGGTTATGGAGTGTGACACAGATGGGGTAGTTTCTTCCCAGTTGCTTTATTAAGATTGATGTTCCTTGCTGTGTTCTGCCTTCCTGGAACTCAGAGTAAAGAGAGTTGATGACAAATGGAAAGACGACTACCAGACCATTCACTGTACCAGACAATCAAGGTGAAACTTCTAGCCATCTATACTCCCTCACACTCTACCCTCCAGCCAATTTCCTTTCACTTCCTCTTTAGTGACATCATGCTCTTTCTTGCTTCCAGAGTTTCACATGCTGTTCCTTCCTGACCCTGTTCTTCACCTGCTTAAATTCTACTCATCCTTCAGATCTCAGCTTTATCTTCACTTTCAGTGGCAGGGTATCTTCTCTGACCTTCACTCACTTCACTAGCTAGGATCAAACAGCATCATCTACTTCCCCTACCAGATACTTACCTCGTTATGTTATTAGAGCTTGTCCAGTTGTCTGTGTTTCTCCTGTCTTGTTTAGTTTCCTGTTTTAAGCTCTACAGAAGGGCAGAGACCTTGTCTCTTACCGATCAGTATCTAAAGAATTGTAAGCACATAGTAGGCACTAATATATTTGTAGAATTCTTATAGGAAATGGTCCCAGGTCACAGAGAATAATTAGGAATATGTGAAATTTCTTGCAATTGTAGTTGGTATTAAATCCCTAATTTGCAAAACTGACAGGGTAAGCTCTTACCAGCACCCTTTTGCTATGCCCCTTCTTTTATCTTCCCACAACATGGTCAGATGTACAAAAAAAGCAGCAGTCTGATCATCACTCCCATGAACACCTGATTCCTGCCTGTAGGCAAATTCATCATTTCTTATCACCATATCAAATGATCTGGGGTTGCAGAGGAGGAGATTTGGAAAGGAGCTACAACAAAGCGATGAATCACACTGAGTCCTCTCATTAATTTGGCCTGAAATCCTATTTTGGCCCATTGCCAAAAGAAACACACACACACACACACACACACACACACAAATGAACCAAACTATATTTTTACATAATTTATAATGCCCTGTTCTATTCATCTGTCCAATCAATATTTACTGAAAGTCAGCTAAATATTTAACCTCTGCTCTTGCCTTTTAATACCTTTGTAAAATCTGGCCAATACCTAATTATGATAATGTTCTCTAATGCCAGTCTTAGTTAAATGTATTCTTTTGGTCTTCCTTTCCCTTTCTACATATGCATATGAGAAATTTCTTACATCCTAGGTCCTCGGATTCCAACTCAATCTCATATATATATATATCTTCATGCTAAATTTAAGTTTCATGCTAAAGCTTACCTTTCAAACAAGTCAATGCTGTACGTAACTGAAATTTTGGAATGACTCATAAAGTGGCTGTGATGCAAGTGGAACGGAAAAGTTGACCCAGTCAGCAGAACAAAAGATTAACGTCCAACATATTTTTCTAGACTGAGGAGTCAAGTTCTAGCTATAACACTTACTGGTAACAATGCCAGTAAAGTAGTACACTGACAGACATACAGACTCACAGATACACTCTTATATGTATAAACACAGTCATAGGCTAAAAAGACAATACAGAAAGGAAAATCAAGTGGTAAAATTCACTTTGATTGCCAAACTGCCAGTTTAACAAAAAAAGTTACACCTTGATTTTATGTCCCTACCAAATGAAAACTAGTTTGGTTTGCTTAAAAGTTCTTATTTCATGTGCCCTAAGAAGCCAGGCTTGCCAATACTTTCACATGTTAACATCACAGATGCTATGGTGTATCACAGAGAAGTCTAATGGTAATAAGATTTCATAAATAACTGTATTAACTGTCTTTTTATTTAAGGATATTTTAGAAATGTACATGCCTGCATACATACTCATGATAGGATAAATTTTAAGATTAAGGACATTTTTGTTATAAAATCTTCAAAGCAAAACAAAAAAAATTAATGAAAATAATCAGAATACTTCCAAGGAAATAAAGGCATCAGTCTTTAAGGGGTATTGATGCACTGAGCTACAGCCAGGTTTAGCCTCAACATTGCAGTTACTGAGAGGAAAGGGTTGAGAAGTTAGAAAATGAAACCAGAATAGAACTGCTAGTAATCTAAAAATGAGTTCATTTTTTCACTTTGTACTTAAGATGACTTCATATACAAAAGTGAGAAAGCAATTCAATAGACACTTAATCCATTTTGTCTCCATGTAAAATTTAAAACCTTTTGAAAGTCAGCCAGAATTGGATCTAAATCTGAGCCAAATCACCTACTATGAGTTGTGTAGGTACACGAACTTGGGGAAGTTTAATTTTTGGTCATCAGTTCCTTCATCTGCAACACAGGAATGGCAGCAGCCACCCATGTTACATGCTTACCAGGGTTCACAGCATAAAGTAAGCCCTCAATAATAACTTGGATTATTACTATAATTAAATATCATTCTTACACCTCAGCATATAAATAAGAGTTCCAAACTGTTAGGAAAGAATTCCCAGAACTTGGGGCACCTGGGTGGCTCAGTCATTAAGCATCTGCCTTCATCTCAGGTCATGATCCCAGGGTCCTGGGATCAAACCCCACATCGGGCTCCCTGCTCAGCGGGAAGCCTGCTTCTCCCTCTCCCACTCCCCCTGCTTGTGTTCTCTCTTTCGCTGTGTCTCTCTCTGTCAAATAAATAAATAAAATCTTAAAAAAAAAAAAAAGAATTCCCAGAACTGGAAGTGCTAATTATTGTTCTTACTATCTGTACTATTATTTATATCTGTATAGCATTAACATTTTAAAGCACTTTCATGTACATTATCTTACTTAGCCCATGTAACTCTGAGAAAGACTGGGTGGAGATTATCACCAGAAGGGTTAAATAAACTTGACCAAGGTCATAAATTTAACAAATAGTAGGGCTGAGGTTAGAACCCAGATTCTTTATTTAGTTAAGCGATCTTTTCATTACACCACTAAAGAAACAATAGTAACAGAAAGCAGCTCAGAAAAAGTAAGGCAAGAGGCACCTGGGTGGCTCAGATGGTTAAGCGGCTGCCTTTGGCTCATGTCATGATCCCAGGGTCCTGGGATGGAGCCCCACATCGGGCTCCCTGCTTGGCGGGAGGCCTGCTTCTCCCTCTCCCACTCCCCCTGCTTGTGTTCCTGCTCTCGATATCTCTCTCTAATAAATTAAAAAAATCTTAAAAAAAAAAAAAAGAAAAAGTAAGGCAAGTTAAAGTGAGAACAGATTTTTATCACCATAGGTCTATCATCTCTCATCCGAATTCTCTGGGGCCAAATGTGTTTTGAAATTCGGAATTATTCTAATTTTAGAATAATGAGGTTGTATGAGCTGCATGCTATGTAATATCCTCAAACAGGGTCTGAGGTAGCACCCAAATAAAGTATGTTAATATTTCTGAAGCAAAATTTGTGAATGGGCACATTTAGTAGGATAAAGACTTATGAACAGTCTCTCTTCAGAATGAGCAAGTTTTTACACCAAATGAGTAGTTTTGTAAGTTGATCCACCTTACAAAAAAATCTCTGGATTTCAAAACTGCAAATAAGAGACTGTGAACTTGTATTACAAGACAGTTTGCAGGTAGCTATGAAGCAATCAATAGTAACCATCAGGAGGGGTGCCTGGGTGGTTCAGTCGGTAAAGCGTATGCCTTCAGCTCAGGTCATGATCTCAAGGTCCTGGGATTGACTGAGCCCCATGTCAGGCTCCCTGCTCAGGGTGGAGTCTGCTTCTCGCTCTGTCCCTACCCCCACTCTTGCACACACAGTCTCTCTCTCTCAAATAGATATAAAAAAAATCTTTAAAAATAATTTTAAAAACATGAGTACACATCAGGAAAAGCTGTGGTGAAGAATACAATAACAGATAAAACCCATCAGATATGGTTTACTCTGATATTTTCTCAGAAAGCAAATAATGTTGCTGAGATTCTAAGAGTAACAATAACCATTAAATGTTCACT